ATTATTATTAAATTATATAAATACTAGTGCTGTCAAGCATTAACGCAGGCGATTATTTTTTTCAGTTTAACACGTTAAAAATATTTAATGCAATTAACGCAGCGGCAGAACTAGGGGTCGCCACCCCACTCACAACTGCTGCTTCTGTCTATTTTTTTCTTGACAAGAATTGCATTTATTTAGACGCAGAACATCTTACGACCACATAAAATGGGAGACTTTTCAGACACGCGTTCCAACTTCACCTCTGCACCAGGCGCGAGTCAAATGAGCGCGTTAAAGCAATTGTTCAATTGCACGAACAAATGTGCCGGCACACACTGTAGAACATGCAATGTCGTAGTTATGTCGTCAGTTAAGTCATTAAGTTACCAAAAAAAATATTTGCATTTAAACCTGCCTTAAAACTGTGTATTTGTTATATATGAGTCATATTTAAAGGGACGGTTGATTGCGAGTTCACTTTTTTAATGTTAGATAGTGTGTAATGTTGCCAAATGTCACAAACCCAGAAATTTACATAAACCCCGCCCCTGTGAACATGCAACAAAGGGGGCGGGGCCATGTTGCGCGGCTTTAGAGAAGTTTCCGGACAACGTGCAGTACTCGGTTAACGAATCACAACACACTGGGCCAGCTGACCAATCTGAGCACATTGCATATTTCTGAGGGAGTGGTATCATAGAAACAGGAAGTCCACTGGCATTCAAATAACAATGGAGACAGCAGCTTACAATAAAGGTAAAATGTATGAAAAATAAGGCGTTTTTTTTAAATGAAGCACGAAGACATGTTACACTGCACCCCATAAACACAATCAAGCCATGAAAAAAAAAGCAGTCAACCACCCCTTTAAGAACATGTCTCTGAAATACAGTAGTTTTCAAAACTGTCCTGTCCTGGAGTCTCCCTCATCCAGTGGCGGATTTAGGCATGGGCTACATGGGCAACCGCCCAGGTCGGCACGGGGCGCCTGCACCAGAAAAAATAAAAAAAATAAACGGAGCTTGATCAGGTTTTTACCGCTCATTTGCATGGCACGTCAATATCATGTCACCTTATGGGTCAACTGTTCGGGACAGAGTGTGCGCCCGGAGAAAAACTCTCTCATTCAGACGCATACGGAGGGTGAACCATCTCCAGGGTAAGGCTAAAATAGTTTAATGTTTAGGCTACCCAAGGCACATCATAATCCCATCTTTATAGCAAGTACCAGATATGGGGATCATGTCATAAATTATTTTAATACGACTGAATTTGTATTTAACTTGATCACATAAAAAACAGCTACGCTTTTATTTCCACAGTTATTCAAACAGCTAATAAAAATCTACCAAAAGCGAGCAAAGAACATTTAAATGAACATTTAAATCAAATAACATAACTGACTATAGTCCAGTGCGAGTTTAAGCACTCTCAAACAACTCCCGTTATAATCACTGAAGCTATAAGGCAAAATTAATCTCTCACTTACATAACACATACATCTGCACTTTGTTGATTATGATGAGATAATTCACGAGAGTGCAAAATTCAGTTAGTGAGCGCGCGTACTGAACAAAGCTTCTGCGTTTCAGCTCATTCAATTAATTTTCGCTTTATTCCCTTTATTTTACGTCACCTCAAAAAAAAAAAAAAAAAAAACCCCGCAAAAGTTAAATGGTATGTATGCAGCTATCACTCATCTAGCTACAATAGGCTAACATATAATGTGATGCTATGTTGCTTGTTGTTATTACACATATAGAGAACAACAATAATTTTTCTGTCTAACTAGCTTACATAATCAGACAGTAAAATGTGATATTGTAACATAATGTGTTTAAAAAACAAATGTAACATACTCACTTTATTATTTTTTACTGTACAGTTGTGCAGTTTTGGAGGGATGTATCATATTTTTTATTTATTTGTCTGAATTTGTAATAATCTAAATATATACATTTATATAAAATAGCAAAATTAATGTAAAATTAATTTAATTTAGAGGTGGCAGACGGGGTGATTCGCCCAGGGCGCCATACAAGCTAGACTTGATGAGGGACACTGCCCTCATCACACCCGAATCATCTCGTCAGCTGAGGTGGTAAATATGTAAAGAGATGCATTTCAGATCCGCGTCATGTTCAGCAGCAGCTCTTAAAGTAATAGCAGCAGCAACAACAACAAAAAAAAACCTAATAACCCAGCTGCTGTGATGTCTGTTAATCAAACAACAAAAGAAATGAGGAAATCAATAATTTTTTATAGCTTTAAGGATTCATCTATATTTAATTTAAAATGTAGTGTTTGATAACTTTATTCAATTTCTGTATATTTCCTACTTGCTGAATATGACATTTATTATAATGGGTTTATGTGAAGATTGTTTTAAGTTCACATAAATTAGAAGTTATTTTAAGTAGTCTAATAAATATTCAAATTGATAGCTCTCAATTATTCTGTAATGCTGAATGGCTAATCAATGGTTAAATATTAGGGGGAAAACAATTTAAAAGAGACATCAGTAGTATTAGTATCAGTGATACATACTGGCCTTCAGTCATAAAAAAGACGCCAAAAAGCATGTTAAAAGACTTTAATGTTAGGTGGGATTAATCACGATTAATCACAATTGATTTCAGAAAATATGTGTGATTAATTAATTTTTTTTTTTAATCGATTGACAGCACTAATAATACACAAAGTTGAACTATTGAGCTTGAAAAAGACTGTTAGAAAATAATTTATGTTAGAACCATGTAGTCAAAATGATTATCTTAAAATGGGATTTATTTTAAAAAGGACAGAGTATGGGGCAAAAACTTATTCAGCATTTAATATTTAATATTTAATATTATTTTCAATAAAGGCTAAATCTCTGTAAATTTATATCCCTTTTATAAAATTACCTGTTTTCTGCCAAATCTGTGATGTGCTGATGGCAGCTTACAAAATCCTAGAATCCCAGAAAAACAAAGAAAAAAAAAAGATAGATAACATGCTTGCTAATAGTTAGTTTAATAGATAATTAAACTAAGCTTAATCACAGTTTCATTATTTACATGTAAAATGCACACATTTAATTATATGCAATCCTTCTTTATTTTAAACCTGCCTGTGATTCAAGCTGGGTATTAACTGGTTATCAATTACAATCATTGTTTTAAACAACTAGGTAGACTAGGTCATGAACTCACACCAGTGATTGCATTTTTTAAATTAAAAATCATTCTAAGAGCTGTCATGAGAAAGGAGATGAGAGAGGAAAAAAACAAAAACAAAAAAACCAAAGCAGCCTTATATGAATCTGCTTAAAGGTGAAGTGTATTTTTTTCATGCTTTCTCCTTTCCTAATTTAATAAGACAACAGGTCATTTTGAGTTTAGTTTGAGCAAACTCAAAACTTTTTTTCTGCATTAATATTAAGCTTTTACTTTCAGTTAATTTAAATATGTGCATATAAAAGCTTTAAATGATATAAAGCTTTAAAAATAATTTATGATTACATGCTTTCCTTTAGCTTATTGTTAAACTATATAAAATTCTAAATAAATTCAGCTAATTCACTTGTCAATCTTTCAGCAGTGGTGACCACCATAAGAAACTTCTTATCTTGTAAATATGTTTTCATTTTCATTAAGATTTCTTAATCTTCAACAGAGATGTGTACTGCGGTGACTCTCCCGCGAGAAGTGAATCAGACAGACTTTCTCGATGTTTCATGTGTGACTGTTTGCTGCAGATGTCACACTTTTGGTGCACATTCTCCAGACTTAAACCATGTTGGATTTGTCTAGTTTGTCAAATTTGAACCAACTATAAAAGTTAGAGTTTGTTTAACTATCTTTGTGCAACAGGCCTCTGACTGAATGAGCATCCCGCCAACCCGCCAAAATTGAAACTCAAAATAATCCATCAAATAATGTGACTACAGTAAGTTCAGTATCCTTTTAGTTATATTAGTAGTTAGTCATAGCGACACACAAAGACACACCAATAACACGGTCTCCTGAGAATGAACTGTTTTCTGCCAAATCTGTGATGGGCTAATGGCAGTTTACAAAATACAAGAATCCCAGAAAAAAACTATAGACTGATAACATGCTTGTTAATAATAGGTTGTGAGGAGATAATTAAACTAAGCTAAATCACAATTTCATTATTTACATGTCAAATGCACGCATTTAATTAGATGCAATCCTTCATTATTTTAAACCTTCCTATGGTTCAAGCTGGGTATTAACAGTCTGGTTATCAATTACAATCATTGTTTTAAACAATTAGGTAGTAGACTAGGGCATGAACTCACACCAGTGATTGTATTGTTTTAATTAAAAATACTTTCTCAATGTCACACAACTATCTTGGCGCAATCAATGTTTTTAGTTTAATGCAGGACTTAAAGTTGGTCTAACCAATGACAGATGGGGCAATTGTTCAGAAAACAAGTTTGAAACCCAAAATGCTTTTTTAACAGGAAAAATGCCAATGCTAAAATGGAAAACATGAATTATTTTAAATACCATGCTTGGCAGGTAGGCAATTTTGTACTTGGCAGCACCCTAAATTTTGTGACTCATACCAAAGTTTCTAACCATAGTGGTCAAATGCATCATTTAAATGCATGTAAACTAGATTCATATAACCTAGTAACCTTTTAAACGTAAATTTAGCTAATTTCTATTTTATGGTCTAGATATCCCAATCTTTTTTTATGTTATAAGATCTAGGTCTTCAACTCTGCTTCTGGGGACACACTGTCTTGCAGAGTATGTTTCAGCTCACCTAGCCTGTGGTTTTTCAAGCGATCCTGAAGGCCTTGATTAGCTGGTTTCAGGGTTAAAGCTATAACTCTGCAAGACAGTGGGTTGAAGTCCTAGGTTAAAAGATAATCATACTTTTTTGTGTTATTTGCAATATAGGCCTACATATGCAATTTACTCTCATTAAATATATAATAACACATTAAACTCGAAAGTTTGTGGAAACCAAATATTAATTTGAATAGTGCCTCTTACCTGAAGCAGGAAGTCAAACAAGGCCAGCCGCCCCCACTCTGAATGATGAACTCCCACACAGCTTGTAAAGTTCAGTGGCACCCGAGTACCACACCTGCTCTGAAGTAGAGTCTGATACTGTGTCCAAGTAAGTGAGAAAGAGTTCTGGTCATTCTCTGCATCTGACAGATGTTGTATGCTGGGATCCCACCATATCACTGGTCTGGGAGATCCATTGGTGTATTTGTACGGTAGAATCTCACTGTGGAATGTTCTCAACACTACGGGCAAGCTCCGGTTCAGACCCAGAACCCTGTCAAGGTGAAAGGCGAACACCTCGAACCAGTCATTGGGACGTTTTATGAGTGCACAGCTTCCTGTCTCACAGCGTGTGATATGATTGTCCCCTGCAGGAACAAATATGTCTTTTTTCTCACTAAATCTAACCTGAAGGACTTGTCCATGGCCCGGAAGCCTGGCTTTACTCAATACAGTGCCTCTGGAGAGAAGTGCCATCTTTTTTATATCATCCTCACTGAGCCAGGGTAGAGACTCTGCTTTGGTTTGGTTCCAGTTTTCAGTGAAAGTCTCTTCAGAGACCTCACACCAGTCATTGGCTGACACCTTGATGCCAGCCTCTTCTGGAATCCCGTCATTGGTTTCTGCTCTGAATTTGGGCCTCTTCCTCTCAGAGGGCCCTGCTTGTCTTTCATGTGTTCCTGCTCCTCCAGGGGCCTGTTTCAGTTTTACCACCTGCTGTGTATCAGAGAACTGCCCCACAAGCCTCTTTGCATTGGCCCCATCTGGAGTGCATTTGTGCCTGCATGTCTTGTTGTTTGGGTGGAGGCTTTGGATGCTGGCAGACTGAGGGAATGCTGGGTCATGTCTGGAGCGAAGAAGATGTATGGTTGGGTTAGAGTTGCTGCTATTTCCTAGTTTAACGGCTCGCCCTCTTTTGGCAGGGGCTGCAAATGGCTTGACTGGATGCTTGTTTATGTTCTGCAGATATCGTTCTTTTTTGTTTGCGTTACTTCTTGCAGGCTTTTTGGTTGATACTTTTTTCTCTGCTGTTTTTCCAGAGGAAAATGATTGTTGGTGGTGGTTGACCATCAGGAGATGTTTAGCAGAATCTTTAATTTCAGGGTTCTTGCAGGTTTTGCTGTGTTCGTATGAAGACGTTGGCAGATAAAGTCTCAGAGACAACTTCTCGACCAGCCTGCTGGGTTTGTTATTGCGGGGGCCCCGTAAGTTGAGCCTGCTCTGCTCAGATGGGAAAAAAGGCAGGGTGTATATCATCACCACTGATAGACTGAAGAGAAACAGGAAGGCCACCACAAACCGACATTTTAGTCTGAACTTCAACCACACTCTTAAAGCCTGCAAGACACAGCAGAGAAGGTAGTGGTAAAGACAAAAAAGTACAATAAAGTCAGCAAGCAAGTCGTAAATGTCAAAGAGAAAAGGCTTTATAAATAAGAAAAGCAGTTTGGATTACATGAAAGGCAGGGAAATCTAAATGAGGGAATATTTTTTGAGGGAATTCCATTCAGAGGTCTGGATTTTGAATGCACATGCTTGAGATTCATTTCACCCATTTCCATATGTGGTTAAGACTGACATTATGCCTTTAGGCCATAGATTTTCCATATGTGTCCATTACTTTGTGCACTCCAGTGTCAGACTGGAATGTAGATTGGATTTTTTTCACAGCTGTTAGTTTTACGGAGATATGTTGGAGAATGAATCAGCCTGAATATGGAATGTTTGATTCAAGGTTATTCTTATAATATTCTTAACATGAATGATAAAACAGGGTCTGGAGCATGTCACTGTATTTGGCTTGTTTTTTAGCTGCATTCTCTAATTTTCCTGCCCCAGACTTGACCCATTCTAAATTGGGCGAAGCCTGCCATTTACGGTTTAGAAGAGGTACCAATCATCCCGAAACTGTACACACAACTGTGAAAAGTCAAATATAGCTTGAAAAGGCTGCTGAAAATTAGAACATTTGTTGACTGTGACAAACAGTGTAAACAGTTTAAACTAAGCAAAAACTACAGTAAAGCTCTTTTGAAAAAGTTAATAGTAGCTCACTAAAGACATGTAAAGGGACAATTTATTTTAAACATATAACCATACTTTGATATAATTTATCATTTAATCAGTGCTTTTAATCATTGTTTTGTCATGCTAGTCATTAGAAAAAGTAGTTTGTTACTGGAAAATCTACTCACTACTCAGTCATGCTACTGTCAAATGTAGCATAGTTGCTCCCCAACACTAGTGTAAAAAAAGCAGTTTTAGAAAATATGCATTTAATATACAGTACATATAGCCTGCATAATATACTACTTAATAACATATGTTTGATATTAATCATGTTTGCAGACATTAAAAGGTCAATATAAAGGCGTAAATATGTGCATGTCCATGAATACTGTAAACATGTCCATGATACCTAGATGTATTTCCACATACATCTGGATGCTAAACAGAAAAGAAATTTCTCAATACTGTGAGATCTCTCCCTTCTGGCTGACATTTTTATGACTTTAGCAGATAGCACCTGTGAAAGACTTCTAGTAGGCTTCAGTTTAAAGAATGTCTTATGTGCAGTTTCACAAGGCTGGGAAGTAGCACACAGCCTGCGACAGGTTAGGGCCTGTTTGACTGCTAACTTACACAAAAAACTGAATGTTTCTTTGAAGGCAAGTGGATATTTAGGTCATAATTATGCATGAAGAAATCATGCAGATTTCTAGCTGATGCCAGGTTCACTATGTAGGTTTTTGCCATGTTTGCTGTGCGGTAGTTTGGTAAAGGGGTCAAATGTTAAATAGATGTACAGTAGACACTTAAGCAACGCTTTAAAAAAATGTGTTTAAGAATTCATAGTTGATTTGATTAAATACACCTGTAACCGATTACAATTTGATATTTTGTGTCTAAATAAATAGTCAAGTCACTTTTATTTCTATAGTGCTTTATTTAATACAGATTGTGTCAAAGCAGCTTCACAGTGATAAACATAACATAATCAATTATGAAAATAAAAGAATCAATTATGGAAACTCATAGGGTGCACAATAAATCAGATTTTAATCATAATCATGATTACTGCTTCACTCTATTTGGTAAGCATTATAATCTGAAATATTTGCCCACTGGTTATTTATTCTAAAAATAATAATAATAATAATAATAATTTTCATTGGTATTTGTGTTATCTTGCATTGGTAACAAGCCTCAACGAGCTTTCATAGTTGCACTTGCCAGTTGTCAAGAGTTCAAATCTCCCAATCAGAGATTAAAAGATATTCAATAAAAAATAAAATACTAAAAACATAAATTAGTTTTTGAATGCTACAAGTAAATTTAATCATCACAACATTACAATGTTCAGTACGAAAATGGATAATTATTTTGAGATTTGCAAAAAATTACATTAGATTTAGATGTTAGATTAGATGACAGCAAAAGTAATATACATTTAATGAACATGCACAATTAAATATCCAATATCGTTTGATATATATCCGATTGTAAATAAAATAACTCTAATATCAGACAAAAGAAGTAAGACAATTAAGCTTATTTTAATCATGACAACTCTTGGAAGATTTTAGCATGGTGATGGATATGACAATGTTAATGTATTTGGTCTTGGCGGAATAGATCGGCTACACTTCTGCTGCTGCTGAATTGCTGCTGCTGTTGGTTATTGCTGTAGTTGTAGATTATTGCTGCTGCTGCAAGCAAGTACAGGAACTTGCTACTGCCAATGCATACGGCGATACGGTGCAGTGAGTATTTAAGACATACTGCTGCTGCACAAATAGCATATAAAATAACCTGTAGCAGATCTATACAAGTGGAGCTGGGGAAGGTGGAGGGTTTCAGAGAAACTCTGAAAGCGCGCTGCAGGAATCACTAGTGAATGCTAGCCAGCCATTTAAATGCAAGGCAGTAAGCTTATTGGCTGCATATGCAGCATGAACCAATCAGCTTGTGCCAAGTCGTATAATTCTCTGAATATCATCAGTTACGTTAACAAAACATCAGCCTGCGCCATCTAGAGTTTCATGACTAAACTATATATTTATTACCTTATTTATTGCAAATTATTTTGTTTTTCTTTTTTAAGCTTAAACTCACTTAATTTTGATACTTTTTCCAGAAAACAATATAAAACACTTAAAAATGTGATTTTTCTTCTCAAATAAATATTTTATTTACAAATTTACATATTTTTACTGTAAATCAAAATCACTTTTTTAAGTGCAGGATAAAGTTCATGCCTTTTTCTTTAAGGTTACAGGTTTTAGATCTGTTAAAAGAGAGAGAGAGAGAGATTTGGCTCTTTCCCACAAAAATTCAGTTTCAGAAAGGAAATCTTTAAATCCAGGTCAGCGTAATTAATGGTGAGTCAAAGATTAAACCCCTCAGCAATTCACATTATCTAAACAAACTGTTAGGAAAACAACCCACCGATACAGCAGTCTCTCACTGATCAAGAGACACACAACATCTGCCAAAACAAATAAAACAAGGCCTTCACAATCATTAACAAATCTTATGTCTTCTAAAGTATCAAATGTGTTTGATTGCACTGGTGAGTGAATGGAAAGTTGACTAGATGTTCAGATGGTTAAAGGAAAGGGTTGAAGGTATGGCTATGTGGGGAAACTCAAAATAGACTGAACATCACACTGAAAGTTGTTGTGTCTGTGGTTTAGACGACGCTTGCAAATAAAGTGGCTTGCATTAAGCTCTCAGTACTCTGTTAACAACTAAGCATATTGACACCATGGCAGGTTAAACTGGCAGACGCAAGTATGGCAAAGACATCACTGTTCAACAAGGTAGCAATCCAAGCACAACAAACATGGGGAGACAAACTGAGACCATGAAGAGGAATTACTCAGACAAGTACAATGTTTTGGGGAAAACATGTTCACATCTCAAAGCTATTGTTTTTCAATAGTGTTTCTGGGTCTTACTTTCACAGACTATGCCTTCATGATTCAAATCACAGTGTATAAATCAGTTGCTGGTGAAATAATGGAAAGAAAGTAAAGGAGTAATAAATTCCAAATAGCACTACATAAAAAAAACACCAAATGAATCCAACAAACATGCTGTCTGCAGTCAAAATATGACATGTCAAGACATGGTAGTTACTTCTCATTGCAAATTTTTTAAAGCAGGGTGTTTGAGGTGTTATTGTAAAGTGATATATACCACTTCTGTTTCCAACTTTTCTTCTTTCCGTCGCTTTCTCTAATCTCCCCAATTCATATATGGCACATCTGGGCCCATTTTACCAGCCCTGTACATGGAATATTAATGCAAATGTTGCCTTTTGTGAGACTCTGTTTCTGTCTTGTGTTGTGTTTTGTTCCCCACGTGCTCCATGTTATGTTTATGCCCTTATTTGGTCTTCCTGTTCCTGTTCCCTGATTAGGTTCATTTGTTCCCAGCTGTGTTTAGTTAATTATCCTCGTTCCCCTGTGTACTTAAGTTCTAGTCTGTTCAGTCTGTCTCTGTCGGGTCTTAAACGTCGATGTTGTGCTACATGTTGTGTTCCTGCCTGCTCTGTGTCTCCCCTTCTGAAGTTCATTAAAATCTCCTTGTTTATGTACTCCACGTCACCTCGTTCCTCGCTCCTCCTGTAGACAACCGTGACAGAAGACCCGACCAAAACAGAACAGTAAGTGGTGCCCCCTCTCCCCTTCTTTGTTTTTCATTTTTTTTAAAGTTTTTTGTTTCCTGTTTGTTTCTCCCCGCGGCGATGGAATTAGCCGCTCGGTTCTCTGCCTTAGTCTGCTGAGATCTCCCCTTCTTCGAGTACACCTGGGAATTCTGGCTCGCCGCAGCGACAGCATTGGATGACGCCACCATCAATTCTCTGTTCTGGCTTGGGGCCAACTACCATCGCCCCGTGGACCTCCCAGACACCAAAGGACTATGCTGGAGGGAAGGGATCATCCGGTGTCTGGGGAGTGTCCAGAACCAGCCCGCTGTCAAGCCCGCCTGCCGCTGCTCACCCAAGTTCGCCGGCCGCTCTGAAGTCAAGCCCACCGGCTGTGGCTCTCTCAAGCCCACCGGCCGCTCCGAAGTCAAGTCCACCGGCTGCGGCTCCCTCAAGCCCGCTGGCCATGGCTCTCTCCAGCCCGCTGGCCGTTCCTCAGTTAAGCCCGCCTGCCGCGGCACTCTCCAGCCCGCTGCCCGTTCCTCAGTCAAGCCCGCCGGCCGCAGCACTCTCCAGCCCGCTGGCCACACCAATGTTCTCTAACCAAACGAGGAGGAGGAGGAGAAAAAGACTGTCCTCTACCCTCATCCTAACCCCAGAGCTCGCTCCAGTGTGGGCTCCAGCTCCCGAGTTTAGCCCACAGAGGGCTCAAGTCCCCGAATCCAGCCCAGAGTGGGCTCCAAGTCAAGTCAAGTCAAGTTTATTTGTACAGCGCTTTTCACTATACAAATCTTCATAACTTGGCAGTGTTTCTAAGATGGAAGAATACTGTTTTTGTAACATGGGAAATATGATTTTCAAAAGACAAGTTGCTATCTAATATAACACCCAGATTTGTGGGTG